CAGGGACAGTGCCCAGGCCCTGAGTTCAAGCCCCAGGACTGGCAAAAAAAGAAAAAAAAAGATGACATTTTCAGAGAAATTGGGTGAACCTGGAGAAATGACAAGTGAAAGTAAGACAGGCTCTGAGGGATGAAGCCAGCTGTATTTCTCTCCTTTGTGAGATCAAATCTAAACTAGGAATAAGCCAGACACTACTGGCTCATGCCTGCAATCCCAACTATTCAGACCACTGAGGTCTGAGGTTCCCTGTTCAAAGCCAGCCTGGAGAAGGAAAATGTATGAGACTCTTATCTCCAGTTAACTACCAGAAAACTGGAGTAGAGCTGTAGCTCAAATTGGTAGAACATTAGCCTAGTACCAATGGGGTTCAGGGACGGTACCCAAGCCTCAGGTTCAAGTCCCATAATGGACTAAAAATAAACTATTAACATCTGTGACATGTACATAGGTTCTTATGCCCTGATACCCCAACACAATGGCTGCCAGAGTGGGTCCCAGGATGCCACCTTTTCCTGAACACTGAGCAGATCATTTCACAGAGGATATACCAGGAAGATGAAACAGGTCTCATCTGGGGATGGTGCAGATTAAGGAGGAGAGGAGGAAGTGGCCAGAGACAGCATGAAATAGTGGGCAAATGTCACTATACAGACTCAGATGTGAACACACCATCCCCAGCCCCTGGACAATCAGGATTCCTCCTCGTCATAAACCAGGACAGGAAGTTGGGAGCCTGCAGGGCTTGAGGATGGGAGTACTAGAATTCCAGATCTTTTCACTGCCCCAGCTCATTCCTATCCTTCCCCTGGAGCTTTGTCATGCAACCTGGTTCAATCGGGAATCCCTGCTCCTAAGGTGATTCCTCACCCAGAGTGTGGAACCTGGGGTCTCTCCTGTCCATGTAAGCCATGGTTCCCAGAAGTTTCCTACCAAGTTTGCTTCCTATTCTTCATCTCATCATTTACCCTACTAGAAAACAAAATTAATTTACGTGCTGGTAGCCCATGCTTCTAATCCTCACTACTCAGGATGATATCTGAGATCAGTCCTAGCCAGCCTGAGCAGGGAAGTCCATGAGGCTCCTATCTCCAGTTAAACACCAAACAAGCCAGAGGAGAAGCTATGGCTCAATGGTGGAGCCCCAACCTGGAACACAGAAGATCAAGCAAATCCCAGGGCTGGCACCAAAGAGAGACATAGAGGGAGGAGAAAGAAACTAGAATGAGACATTTTTGTGAAGGACTTCTTTGCTAATAATTTTTGTTTTTTTTTTGTCAGTTGTGGGGCTTGAACTCTGGGCCTGGGCACTGTCCCTGTGGTCTTCAATTCAAGGCCAGTGCTGTTCCGCTTGACTCACAGTACCACTTCGTTTTCCAGTAGTTTATTGGAGATAAGAGTCGTACAGACTTCTGCCCAGGCTGGCTTTGAACCGTGACCCTCATATCTCAGCCTCCTGAATAGCTAGGATGACAGGCATGAGCCACTGGCACCCGGCTTAATGATCATTTTTTCTAAAAAGTAGTTTCATCTCTATTGACACCATTTGGAGACTTGGATGTAAGCATTTGATGAATATTCCTCAAAGCAGGGTAACAAGCTATTTTTCACACGTGGTTGTTTGAGTGGAGGTAACTTCATTCTTTAATTCCCTAGTCATTTGCATTGTTATCAGTGGTGATTTTGAACTGGTCATTTCATCACTGTGCTCAGGAGAGGATTAGGAGTGATTCCTCAACATGGGTTTCTGGTCTACCTTATTGCATGTGACCCCATTCCTCACACCTGGACCCTTCTGGTCTTGCTGACCATCCCTCAATGCTGTTGTTATTTCCAGAACTTGTATTTGCCTGTGTCTGACTTCTTGTGTTACCACAGCAATCTGTAGTTTCACAGATGTGGCAGCAGATGACAGGATTTCCTTCTTGTTCCTGGTTTAGTTGTAGTTTGTGATGGAAATAGGCTACATCTTCTTTATGCATTCATCCACAGTTGAGCCTGTGACTCTGCTGCTCTGAACCTGGCTGACTTTGCTTCACACAACCATGTCCAGTGTCGCTCATTTCTCTGCAGACACCATGGAGAAAATGGGTTGTTTCTTGGCTGTGGTGAATAGTGCTGCAATGGATATGATGTTCAAGCTTGGACCTACATTTCCTCAGGAATATGACCAAGTGTGGATCATATGGAATTTGTATTTTGAGTTTTGGTCACAACCTCCATACTGATTTCCATAGTGGCTGCATTCAGTGGCATTCCCACACAGTGTGTTTCTTATATTCTGCATTGGTGAGTCTTTTTTGTTGTTTTTAATGAACAGAAGTGAAATGAAATCTTATTTTGATTTGCAATTCTTTTATGGCCAGAACCGTTAGACTTCTTTTAAGAATAAATCTCCAAACAGCAAACAGGAGTAGACTCATGATGTTTGTTTCTGTAGCCTTTATGTTTTCTCTGATGGGCAAACAGGTGCTCACCGTGTCTAACAGTCCCTAATCACTATTGCTTCATGGGAAACTGACTTTAGATATGCAACCACACATTACAATACAAAATGTGCTGGGCACTGGTTTTATCACTTGTGTGCTATTGCTTTTTTTTTTTAATCTACAAGGGACCCTAACAATGTGGAGAATAGCACTGGGGACAGAGTAGAGCTTCCCAAAGCTGTCAGGTTTGATTTCAAATTACAATCCTAGATACTGAACTTTTATATAGTTTAATGGTATTGTTTTCTGTCAGGAAGAATTAGACAGAAATGAAATAAAACTTACCTGGATAGAAATCATGAGTCACTCAGTATTTTTTCTTGCAGTTGTGGGGCTTGAACTCTGGGCCTGAGCACTGTCCCTCAGCTTTTCAGCTCAAGGTGAGCACACTACCACTTGAGCTACAGCACCACTTAGTATTTTTTTGAAAGGATATTTTTATTGACTAAAACATGGACACATTCTGAATAGAGTAACAAAATAACAGCAGTACTACATAATTATCCTCAAGAAAATGCTGTTCTGGTTGTGTGTGTATGCGTATCCCTGAGATTTAGGCACCTGCTAGGAAAATGCTCAAACACAGAGGTACCCCAAAGTCCTCATTCTAGATCTGATTAAATTCTCCACTCTAGAAACTTTTTTTTTTGGTCAGTCGTGGGGCCTGAACTCTGGGCCTGGGCACTGTCCCTTAGCATTTCAGCTATAGGCTAGCACGCTACCATGTGAGCCACAGCACCACTTCTGACTTTTTCTGCTTATGTGGTGCTAAGGAATCGAACCTAGGGCCTCATGTATGCAAGGCAAGCACTCTACCACTGAGCTACCTTCCCAGCCCCTCTAGAAATTTCTTTCATCTCAAAAGCAAGATGAATTTGTCTCATGAGAAGACCGGTCAGCAGTCTGCTACAGGACAGCCACCATCATTCTGTGCAGGGACCGCCATTCTCCTGCTTCACCTCCATCACTTCTCTGAGTCTTGTGTAGCCTGGTGCTCACTTGTTCCAAGAGCATGGTGCTGTGCTCACTTCTCACTGGTCCCTTCAGCTCACATTTGGTGCTGTGCAGTGTCCTCATGAAGATGGGGTCAAGGTGAAGAGCATCCAACAGAGGGCAGGGGTCAAGGTAAAGGGCGCCCTACAGAGGGCTGGGGAGGGAGGCCTGCGGCATGGGTGATGTTGCATATCTGTTCTGCACCATACTCCTCCCCTTCTAGAGGTCGCTGTGTAGCCTTGGATTTCAGAAGGAATACTCACCTTTCCCAGAGTTTGCATAGAAATAATCCTCACAAGATGGTGAGACCAGCCCTTCATCGACCCCACCGGGGAGAACCTGCCAGGCAAGCATTTCATTAACAGGGCTCAGCCATAAAGGCACAGTACCCAGAATCATCACACTTGGGAGACAGGAACGCATGGCTTCTGGACATCGCTGTACACTGTATCTTGCTGTGACCAATTCTCGGCTTGGCATTCTTTGGCAGATAGAATTCTAAGTCCACAGTGTAGAACCAAGGGACCAAGGGCTCCCAGTCATGTGCAGAGGTGAGCGCTCTGCCGGGATGGTTTCAGCAAAGAAGCTGGTTCTCATGTCCGCTGACTGAGGTGCACATTTGAGCCTCTGCTGTGTGCATGACAAGATTTCCTGTGTTCTGCTCTTGGTGACAGCTATTCTCACAAACTGTTTAGAAAGTCAGTTCTCAGCTATAGAGCTCAGACTGCCCTCAAACTCTCCATCCTCTGCTAGGATGACAGCAGGACCCACCCCACTCAGCAGCACCCCTGAACTCCCACCAAGCAGTTCTGTCATCCTTGCCTTTATATTCTGTTGAGGAGTCCTCAAGAGGTCAAGTTAGGCTGCACCACACCCTGCTGCAGTCACTTGTGAGCTTCTGCTGGGCGTGAGCCCTGTGATGGCTGGTGAGGTTGGAACTTCAGCTGAACACCTGGATCCATGTGCCACATGAAAGGCCTCTCCCCAGGATGCATCTGGTGGTGGCACTCAAGATGCATGTTCTGCACAAATGCTTTCCCATATTTTGGCACAATTGCAGGGCTGGCACTCTGTGGGGTTGGCACAGCAGGTTCTGAGGTTGGAGTGGGAATTACAAGCTCTGCTTCTCTCACCACACAACTATGGCCTCTCCGGAGTGTGCATCCTATGGTGCCTAGCAAGGTGTGTGGCGTGCGTGAACTCCACTCCACACTCCGTGCACTGGTAAGGTCTGTGGCCATTGTGCACAGCTTGGTGTTGGATGAGGGTCTGGTGCATGCTGAATGCCTTGCCGCACGCGTCACATGCGTATGGCCTCTCCCCGGTGTGTCCTGCGATGCACTGCGAGACCGGTGACATGACTGTATGCCTTCCCACACTCGTCATACCTATATGCTTTGAGGCCAGTATGCACAGTCTGGTGTGCTCTGAGGCAGGTACGTGTGCTGAAGGCCTTGCTGCACACATCATAGGCATACAGCCTCTCCCCATTATGTGCCTTGATGTGGTCTACAAGGATACTTTTCTCCGTAAACCTCTTCCCGCACTCGGCACAGCGGTACGGCCTCTCCCCGGTGTGCATCCTGTTGTGGTGCACAAGGCCATGTTTCTGCATGAACCTCTTCCCGCACTGAGCACAGCAGTGAGGCTTCTCCCCAGTGTGCGTCCTGAGGTGCGTGGCAAAGCCAGAGGTGTAACTGAATGTCTTCCCGCACTTGGCACAGTGGTACATCTTCAGCTTCGTCCCACTGTGCGCAGCGTGGTGATTGGTGTGTATATAGAGCGCAACAAAGGTCTTGCCGCACTCACTACACCAGTATGGCTTCTCCCCGCTGTGCGTCCTGCGGTGAACGGAGAGGTTGGACATGTGTCTGAATGCCTTCCCACACACTTTGCAGAGGTACAGCTTCATGACGCTATGGCATCACTCGTGATGCAAGAGCTGGGAATGTGTGGAGAAAGCCTTCCCGCACTCTGCACAAACATAGGGCTTCTCGCCACTATGGCGTCCCACGTGATTCACGAGACGGTAACGTCTGGAGAAAGCCTTTCCACGCTGTGGACAGAGATATGGCTCCATGCTGCTATGGCTCCGTCGCTCGTGATCCATGAGATGGGAACACAAGGAGAAAGCCTTCCCACACTTAGCACAGCAGTGTGGCTTCTCCACAGTGTGGATCCACCTGTGATGCATCAGGGAACAGGGCTGACTTTGAGATAGTTCTCCACAACCACTGCCTGCTTTCGGTGGTAATTCTTTAATTACACAGCCAGGAGAGGTACCTCCAAGATATAAAATTTCCACCTAATTAATCAGAGTTAAGGATTTTACCCTGAAAGAGAATACTACAGCAAAACTCGCACACACACACAGAACCAAGCCATATGAACTCCATAAAATACAATATTTATGAACACAAAAGGAATAGCATTCTTTCATTGGAAAGTAGATTACTAAGAGAAGGTAAGCCTTGTTTCAAACAACCTATGAGGAAAACGTGCATCCTGAGCCAATCTCATCAGGAAGACAGGATTTCCGCCCCCCCAACACACCTAATTGCCAAAAGCCCTATGTTATATTATAAGCAAACAGAAAAAAAGCCTATTTACAACATATTGACTATGCACAAAAAAATGCTACATATCACACAATATAATGATCAGAGCCAAAAGCAGTTTACAGAATAAATTGACTGATAAATCTGAATTGCAAAGCAGAGGCAGGGGGGAAAAAGTAAGAACTCAATACAACAATGCAAAAAAAAGACAAAAACACCTGCAATATATCAATATATACAATAAACTGCCTACACCCACACACAGCAAACAAATTTTAAAACAATGTGTGTTAAATTGTGTAGTACAATGCATGCTGACTATATTTAGATGATAGTCAAGTTACCAAAAGAAAACCCAAAAAAGTAAACCATAATAGAACAATTCCCTTAAAAAACAGTGCCAGTGGCTCACGCCTGTAATCCTAGCTACTCAGGAGGCAGAGATCTGAGGATCACAGTTCAAAGCCAGCCCAGGGAGTAAAGTGCATGAGACTCTTATCTCCAATGAACCACCAGAAAAGAGGAAGTGGATGTGGCTCCAGTGGTAGAACTTTGCCTGGTGAAGAGCGCAGGGACAGCACATAGGCCCAGAGTTCAAGCCTCACAACCAACCAAAAAAGAAAAGAAAAAAAAAAAAGCAAAAGAACTTGTGTTGCACAAAAAGCACAGAATATACGAAGTACAATGTCCAGCCATCTAGCTCTAGGTGTACATCTGAAGGAAATGAAGTCATCATATAAAAGTCATGGCTGAAAGAGACAAACAGACATGGGTCTCCCTGATAAGTGGATATTAAATCCAAAATGTTAGGTGATACAACAAAATTAACAGGACTTAACAAAGAACTTCCAACTCATCTGGTTGAACCACTACTAAATAACCCCATGCTGCTGATCACATGTATGGTATATATGTGTACACCAGAGGGGACCCAGGAAGATGACACAAAACTAGAGGGAATCAGGAAAAAACATACAACAGCAGGACCCATTAGCTGCACAAGACACTGACCAAAATAAACTAAGCAACTCAATAGCAGCGATGGGAGAGAGGGAACAAATGGGAAAGAGGGAACAGCTGATGCTATCTATGCAAAGCAAAAGAAATGTACATACCACCCAATGTGAAAGAAATAACTATCGCAAAGCTCATAGAACTCATAAATGTTACAGACTGTGATAGACAATTTGCTCCAGGAAAGTGTTTGTGACTTTAACTGAGCATCACTATGCCACAATACTGTGAAATTTGGGAAATTATGTAATCACTTAATCACAATAAAATAAATTAAAATAAATTAAAAAAATAAAATTCATGGCTGGGGTTAGGTGCTGGTGGCTCACACCTGTAATCCTAGCTACTCAGGAGGCTGAGAAGTGAGGATTACAGTTCAAAGCCAGCCTGGACAGTCTGTACTCTTATCTCCAATTAATCACTGGAAAACCCCAAGTGGCGCTGTGGCTCAATTGGTAGAGTGCTGGCCTTGTGCCAAAGAGATCAGGAACAGTGCTCAAGCCCAGAGTTCAAGCCCTATGACCCACAAAAACAAAACAAAACAAAACAACAACAAAAACAAAAAAAATGCTGGGGTACTGCACACCCACCATTAGCTGGAGAGCCAACCTAAAACACTTCAATGGACACAGGAAATACAATGGAGACACAAAATGACATATTACTCTGCAGGACAGCACACAAGTGGGGACATTCTAAAGTCCTTTAGGGCTCACAGCAATGACACTTTGGTTTTCCTACAGAAAACTTCCAGTTGTGCCCAGGTTCCCCAGTTCCATCTCTATACATCTGAGCTCTTATCTGTGTTCTCACCTTTCTTTGGGGCCTTCCCAACCACTCAGCTCTCCTGGAGTTGTCACATGGCTCTGTGCCACCCAGGGCTCTTTCCTGAGCCCCAACAGCAAAAGCACACTCAGGCTGGGAGGGGAGACTCCTGTTTATAGAAAGACAATGTGCTGTGGCCTCTCCGGAATCGCCAGTCTCATGCTCATGGGAAAAGGGGACATCACACATGATGCAAAAGACAGCTCACACATTCAGCAGACTGCCTCCATCTGAATACTTCAGAGCACACTCTAATGTGCAGACAGCAACGTAAGAACTACCAAGTCAGAAGGACGAGGAAATCCGTATGTTCAAAGTCTGCCATAGGCTGAGTGTGGTATCATCTGTGTGTAATTCCAGGACTCAGAGGATCAGTGGCAAGTTCAAGGTCACCCAGGGCTACAAAGCAGGACCTTTTCTCAAAAATAAAATAACATGAAGAAGAGGAAGAGAACTTTAGGGAGGGAGAGAAGGAGGGAGGAAGGGAAAGAGAAAGAGAGGGAAGGAAGGAGGTCAGTTTGACATAGTGCTAGAAATATAGCTTAATGATGAGAAGACCTGCCTAGCATGTACAAAGAAAAAAGGGAAGAGTGGAGAAAGGACGGGAAGAAAGGGAAGGGGAAAAAAAAAAAGCAGAAGAGAGAGAAGCCTGCCATAGCTGACATGCACACAAGTTCACTTAAGCTGTGGGACACGGAGATGCATATAGGAGTAGGACAAAGGATGGGTGTGAAAGTCTGGAGGTGACGTTAGCACGTTCCCATCTCTGAGTGCACAGAGCTTTACATCTAGTCATGGAGACTGAGGACTGTCCAGGCATTCAGGGGAAACCAAGGCCAAGAGTAAAACTCTCGACTTGTGCAAGGAAGGGAGGGGTGCTCACCCACAGAGACCAGGTTCCCGCAGGTGTCCAGCATGATGTCCCTGTACAGAGAGCACTGAGCCGGGGTCAGGCACCACCACTCCCCCAGGTGAAATCCACTGCCACGTCTTCAAATGTCAACTATCCCCAAGGAGAAAATCCAGAAGCATTTCACACACACACACACAATCCATAGACTCAAAGTATTAGAATTATAAACTGATGCAGATGCCTACCATAACAAAGCAATCAACACAGCAGAGACAGAAGGAAGCTTCAGGATGTTAGGTTGTAATGGTGACTTTGATATGAAACCAAAAGGAAAAAAACTATGTGGAATTTTACAACCCTGCAGTCTTCTAAGAAAGTGAGGGCATATGAGGAGCTGTGTTAAAAGAATGCAGACAAACATGAGTGGCTCTTGCCTAGAATTGTCTCTCCAGAGGCTGAGATCTGAGGATCAGGGTTCAAAGCCAACTGGAGACTCTTATCTCCAGTTAAGTTATGCCTGAAGTTTTAGAGCACCAGGCTTGAGCAAAATAGCTCAGGACAGCACCCAGGCCCTAAATTCAATCCCAGGATTGGGGGTTACAGAGAGAGAGAGAGAGAAAGAGATAGAGAGACAGAGAGAGAGCCCCAAGTTTACAACAAAACCAGCAGAGAGGTTTCAGAAGGACACAGGAACACTTGGTGAGTGATGCCATCCTGTGCCCACATCCAGAGGGGACAGGGCTGAGGAAAGGCATGGGAGACATGAGCACACATGGCAGGCAGGCGCCAGCACAGTCAGCGCCCAGGCCAGCTCTGTGCATAGGAAGGAGATACCACACGGCTTTACCTGAGTCACAGTCGCCATCCCTGCTCCATGTCTTTCCGTCTTTCCTCTTCCTCCTCCCTGGGCTTCCTCCTTAGATATCACTTTCCAGAAGTCAGTCCTGAGTGCTGAAAAAATCCTGTTTAATGCTCACACCCAACATACACTCCCTGTGCCCCAGCCCCAGCCCAGGGAGGACCTCACCATGGGGAAGATGGTCCTGTGCTGCCCTCATGGGGTGATGGGGAATGCAGGTCCTGGGGCTGGAACTCAGGACCTGGGTGTAAGGTTTTAGGTGAGAATAGAGCGCAGAGAGGAATAAAAAGGTTAATAGGGGCTGGGAAGGTGGCTCAGTGGTAGAGCGCCTGCCTTGCATGCCTGAGGCCCTGGGTTCGAATCCTCAGCACCACATAAGCAAAAAGAAAAAAGCCAGAAGTGGCGCTGTGGCTCAAGTGGTAGAGCGCTAGCCTTGATCTGAAGAGCTGAGGGACAGCACCCAGGCCCAGAGTTCAGGCCCCACAACCGGACCCCCTAAAAAAAAAAAAAAAGACTAATAGGAAAGTTTATTGGGGTACACTCCCAGCGAACTCCCTGGTTGGTATCAGAGAGGTCTCACTGAGTACAGTTGCAGCCGAGCTTCTATAGATGGGGTAAAAGCAGAACTTTTAAGTGAGTGTGCACTTGTAGCATGTACCTTGTTTTGCAAGCTCGGGCGGTTTTAGGCCAGTGCACTCCAAGAATGGTTGACTCAGACGGTGTTTTTGATAGGGACTTGGTCTTTCTAGGCAGCAGCCAGTTTCCTCCCCCTCTCCCCCCACCCCCTTGCTGCCTACTTCCTCCAGAAGCCTGACACTGCACCCTGTGCCTGAGCTAGTTCACTCAAGGCTGGTGTTCTACCACTTGGGCCACATCTCTCTGGCTTTCTATCGGTTAATTGGCTATAACAGTCTCAGGGAGGGGGTGAAGAGCAAAAGTGAATGAAGAAGCATTAAGTACCCAGTTTGAGTCCCAGTCTGTGACCTAAAAGAAAAAGTGTCAGATTTTCCTGCCCAGGCTGACTTCAATCCTCCATCCTCACAGCTCAACCCCACTGCCGACAAAAAAAAAAAAAAAGAAAAGAAAAAGAAAAATGGCCCGCACAGATCAGCGCTGCGGGGTCTCCCAAGGTGCAGCCGGGTGAGACCGGGGGGTCCGGCCGGAGGCGGGGCAGAGTCGGGGTCGGGTCTCGGACCCTGAGCCGAGCGGTGGGGCCGAGGGTAGGGGGGAAGGCGGTGGAAGGATGAGACTGGGGCTGAGGCCAGGACTGGGGCCGAGGTTCGGGAACGTGCCCGGAGACCAGGGTGGAGTCGGGGGCCAGGATGGGGGTCCGCGCCGAGGCCGGGGATCGTGAGGGACTGGGACCCGGGCCGGGGACGGAGGCGGGGGGCCCGGGACCCGGGCCGGGGACGGAGGCGGGGGGCCCGGGACCCGGGCCGGGGACGGAGGCGGGG